CACCCTCCAGCCTCTGGTGCACATGGCTTCCTCCCCGGCGGTGGACGTGTCCTGCAGGCGGCGGGAGAAGCGGCGGCAGCTGGACGCGCGCCGCAGCAAGTGCCGCATCCGCCTGGGCGGCCACATGGAGCAGTGGTGCCTCCTCAAGGAGCGGCTGGGCTTCTCCCTGCACTCGCAGCTCGCCAAGTTCCTGTTGGACCGGTTAGGGGCCGGGGGAGGGGCTTGGGGGAGGGTACCCAGGCAGCAGCCCCTAGCCTCCTCTCCAGGGCCTGTCCTGCTGCTCTTTTCCACCCTCAGGTTTCTCACTGTACCAGGACGGCCTGTGTGACTTGTGGCCTCCCAGGGTCCTGCTCCCCTCCTCATGGTCTCAGCGAATAGCGGCCCTTAGGGCTGGCCCCTTACATGTGTGAGTGCCCAGGGCCGAGGGTGGCTGGCCACCTGAGTCCTGACCTGCCTCTTCTCCTCCTGGCAGGTACACTTCTTCAGGCTGTGTCCTCTGTGCAGGTAGGTAGGGGATGGCAGGGGGTGAGAGCCAGAGGGAAGAGGGGCCACAGGGTGACCCAGAAACACCCTCCTTTCAAAGGGAGCCCTGAGTGAGTTTGGGAAGGGTGGGGTGAGTTGGGGAGCACGGGGTAGTTTGATGGGAGCAACCTCTGGGTGGGGAAGGGAGCAATGTCTCAGGATCCAGTGTGTCTAGGTTCTGAAGAATGATAAATTGGACTGTGGCTGAGGTTGCCCTGGGGTTTGAGGGAACAGGGCTCCCTGGGTATGGCTTTCCAGGGTGAGAGGAGGAGACTTCCCAGTTCAGCCTGACTGCTTCCCCCACCCCTCCAGGTCCTGAGCCTTTGCCTCCAAAACGTCTGCAGTATCTGGTGCTCTTGTCTCATGCTCACAGCCGAGAGTGCAGCCTGGTGCCCGGCCTTCGGGGGCCTGGCGGCCAAGATGGGGGGCTTGTGTGGGAGTGCTCAGCAGGCCATACCTTCTCCTGGGGACCCTCTTTGAGCCCCACACCTTCAGAGGCACCCAAGCCAGCCTCCCTTCCACATACTACCCGGAGAAGTTGGTGTTCTGAGGCCACGAGTGGGCAGGAGCTTGCAGGTAGGCTGGGAAAAAGCAGAGTTGTGGAGAAAAGGGAGGAAAGAGGTTTCCCATTTTCTGTAGCTCAGAACCCTGTTCTCTAAAAATCATCCTTTTTCAATGGAAAAACTCTATGTTGACAAAGAAATATATCATCAAATACATTGTTGGGCACGAAAAGCAGAACAAAATACAGTGTATGGTATGCTATCATTGGTGAAAAATACAAATAAGGGGAAAATGAGAGAGTGTGTGTGTGTGTGTGTAAGTACTTGTGAATGTATAACATATCTCTGGAAGGCACATAGGAAACCAGGTTGCCTGTGGGAAGAAGTAGGCGATGGGAGGACAGTATTGGAAAGGAGATTTTTGACTGTATAGTTTTGTGAACTGTGTGAATATCATCTCTGGAATAGAACAACTCCTCCTACTCCAATAGCCTCTGCTCCCTCCTCCTCAAGAGTCTCTGCCTGGGTGCAGTGGTTCACACCTATAGTCCTAGCACTCTGGGAGGCTGAGGCAAGAGGATTGCTTGAGCCCAGGAGTTTGAGACCAGCCTGGGCAACACAGTGAGACCCTATCTCTATTAAAAAAAAAAAAAAAAAAAAAGAGGAGTCTCCCATCACTTCAGACCTTAGAACTTTACATGTCCTCATCCCTTGAGTCCAGAGTTCCTTCCCTTTTGACTTTGCCTGTCCCACAGATTTGGAATCTGAGCATGATGAGAGGACTCAAGAGGCCAGGTTGCCCAGGTGAGGATGTGGGTAGGAGGGAAAGGGCGGAATTGCATAGATGGTAGGATGAGGGAGCAGGACCTCAGACTTGCCTTCTTTGGGCCTGCAGGAGGGTGGGACCCCCACCAGAGACCTTCCCACCTCCAGGAGAGGAAGAGGGTGAGGAAGAAGAGGACGATGATGAGGATGAAGAGGAGATGCTCAGTGATGCCAGCTTATGGACCTACAGCTCCTCCCCAGATGAGCAAGTTGGGGTTGAGGGAGAATGCTGAGCAGAGCAAGAGAGGGAGGCAGCTGGCCTGGCAGTTCATAGCTTTACAGACTAGAGGGAAGGGCTTGGTGTGGAGGGAAGGGTGGGTTTTGAGGAAGGCAAAAAGAACTAGAGGCTTTGAACTGCGTGGGTGAAAAGGGGTGAAGTCAGGCGCAGGGAGATTGAGGGCTGAAAGCAGATATGAATGGGGAGCCTAGGGTGGGGGTAGGGTTGTTTCAGGTTTGAGGTCTTTTCAGTTTAGGGGCTAGGGTCGGGCTGGGGCTAGCTGACTGCCCAGAGAGTTAATGCCATCTTCCTCTTTGTTCTCCTTTCAGTAGTGAGCCTGATGCCCCCAGACTACTCCCTTCCCCTGTCACCTGCACGCCTAAAGAGGGGGAGACACCACCAGCCCCTGCAGCACTCTCCACTCCTCTTGCTGTGCCGTCCTTGTCAGCATCCTCACTGGGTTCCAGAGCTCCTCCACTTGCAGAAGTCGGGGTGCAGCCGGAGCTCAGCAGGACCCCTCAAGCAGCCCAGCAGACTGAGGCCCTGGCCAGGTAACCTGATGGCTGAGACAGAAAGGGCAGGGGCGTTCTGGGATGTGGCCCTCCCTCGAGGCCCTCTGCTCCCTCTTTGCTGCCCATAGCACTGGGAGTCAGGCCCAGTCTGCTCCAACCCCGGCCTGGGATGAGGACACTGCACAGATTGGCCCCAAGAGAATTAGGTAGGACTTGGGGAGATGGGGTTCTGGGGAGGGCCCACAGGAGGGAGGCAGAGAAGGGCAGGCAGGAGTCATCCTGCTCCTCTCCATTCTTCTCCCCAGGAAAGCTGCCAAAAGAGAGCTGATGCCTTGTGACTTCCCTGGCTGTGGAAGGATCTTTTCCAACCGGCAGTATTTGAATGTGAGGGGCACAGGTTGGGGCCTGTGTGGCTGCTGGGGTGGGGGAAAAAGGGCTAAAAGAGAAACTGAGGAAAAGGATCTTAAGGCATGGGAGGATTCAGAACTGGGAAGCAGAGGGTTATGATGGACATGCAGAGCTTTCCTATAATTAGTAATCATTGAATCAGACAACTGGTAGATGAAACCATGCCTCAGGCGCACGGAGCCACGGCCCTCTACTTGTTCCATGGAGGCCACACAGAGGTGACAGTGGCATGCATCAGGCTTCCCTGGAGGTGCTAATGACAGTCCTGGGCACTTGACATGTGTGAAGTCTTCTGGTTCTCACAATATCCCCATGGATTAGGTGCTGATATTATTCCCACTTTGCAGACAGAAAGGTTAGACGTTGCTCAAGGCTCTTCAGCTAGTGTGTCTTAGTGCTAGGGTTCTGAGCCTGGTGGCCTGGCTTCAGAGTCCATGCCTGGGCTGCCTCATCTCCTGGCTTGAGAGGATATTCCTAGAGTGAAGTGGGCTAGGAGATGGTCCTGTCCCCAATCTTACTCACTGGCTGAGAAATCTGAGGCACAGAGGGGGAAGGGTCCAATCCCTACAGTCAGACAGAGCACTTGGAACAGCAGGTGCCAAGGCTGGGGAGGGCCACAGACACTGGGATGGTGAGGTGAGGGTAGAAGATGGGGAGAGTGCTGCTCACAGAAGATGACAGAGGAATCCAGTGAAAAGGGAGAACAACGGGATGACAGGGAAGCTCTAGGCTGAGAAGAGCATTCAGCAGGGCATGTCAGACCTTCTGGAGTCTGTTATGGAGGAGACCAAAGCAGCCCCTGGAAGTTTAACTGTGGAAAAACGGGATTCTAAAGAAGGGGACAGCCCATGCAGTTTAGTGAGCGAGGATGCCAACTTAGGCCAGTGAAAAGAGAAATACCTTCGATATTTAGGAGTTAAGGTTGAAGAGCCTGTTACCCTTAATAGTGTTCTAGGTTGAAAGTGTGTGTGTGTGTGTGTGTGTGTGTGTGTGTGTGTGTGTCCCAAGCAGATTTAGAAGAAAATCACATAAATATCCATGGCGAAGTATTAAAAAGCAGGCAGTTGGGGAGATACTGTTGCACATGAATATTGACATTAAATAGGATAATCATACTTACCCAAACTGCTTTCCCCTCCACAGCAGGTAGTGCATTCATGATTAGGTAAACCAGGGGTATCACCCAGAGTGATACTTTGTACAGGGAACATTGCAGGGTGAGAGTGTGACAAGGAGCTGAGATCATGGAAGTCAAGCACAGAACAGGGTGACAGGAGAGTTGAGTGGTCAGGATGGGATGGGCGTGGGGCTCATGGTGGAGGTGAGGACTGAGCCTCAAGGAAATGAGCCATGACAGGGAGAACTGCTGGGGCACAGGGCCAGGAAGGGGACAGAGGAGCATGCCTGCTGGGTCAGCTCAATTGATCTCCCTGTGGGGGGTGGCTATCCTTTTGCCTCTTCTCTCCCTACCACCCACTTCCTTCTCTAGCACCACAAAAAGTACCAGCACATCCACCAGAAGTCTTTCTCCTGCCCAGAGCCAGCCTGTGGGAAGTCCTTCAACTTTAAGAAACACCTGAAGGAGCACATGAAGCTGCACAGTGGTGAGTGGTGGAGCTCCACCTTCCTCTGGGCCCCGTCACCCCAGGCTCTGTAGGTTTCTTCACGTCCCCCTCTACGGGGTCCTGTCAGCTCCCACTCTGTGGGTTTCTTCACCTCCCTCCGAGGGATGACTCTCACTCATCCTGCATGCCCTGTGTGTTGAACACCTGCTTGTTTTAAACTGTTCTGGGTACTGGGTACAGCAATGAACAGAGTAGGCAGCGCTAACCCTCTTGAGACATCCACTTTAGTGATACAGGGCTACGAAGAAAAGTGGAAGCTAGGGAAACGAGGAGAGCATAAGGAGGAGTTGCTATTGTAGAAAGAGAAGATGCTTTGAGTAAAGACTTAAGTGAGGAATGGAGACCTACACCTTATAGACTATGGACAGCGCCTGTGGGAAGGCCCTTAGGTGGTATCTGGGTGACATGTTCCAGGAATAGGAAGGCCAGGAGCTGAGAAAGGAAGAGAAGTCACATAGTTGGTGGATGCCTCTGAGACCATCCACAGGACAGTGTGACGTCTGCTTTAAGTGAGATGGGTGCCATCGCAGTCTTGAATGGCAGAGGGACATGGCTTTTTAAAAAACCATTGTGGCTGCTGTGTGAATAGGGGGACCTCAGATGAGCAGAACCAGGCACTCAACTGTGAGATGACTGCAGAGATGCGCAAGAGGGCAAGGTGGTGCCTGGATTTGCTGGTAGCAGCTGAGTCAGTGAGGAGTGGCTGGAGGCCAGTGTGTGTGCAGATGGAGCCAAATGGGCTGCTGTGGGAAGGATGGGTTGGCTACAGCCGAGTGGGCAGGGAGGAGTTGGGTAATTTGGAGGATTCCAGCCTCAGCAACCATGCCGAAGGTGATGTGATTTTTCTGAAAACAAGGGAGGAATGGTCTTGGGAAGGGAAATTTGATTTGAAACGTGCTAATTAAACATCCAGGAGATGTGAATGTGGAGATCAGGGAAGATGTCCGACAAAAATATAAATATAAATGTGTGGGTCATGAGCATATGGGTGGTATTTAGAGCCATGAGGCCAGAGTGTCCCTAGATAGAGGAAGTGAGTGTCAGGGCACTCCAGCCATCAGAGGACAAGCCAGGTGAGTAGTGAGGAAGATGGAGAGAGTGGTATCTGAGGAGCTGAGTATAGAAAATGCTTCAGGGAGGAAGGGGGGATGATTGCCAGTGCGACAGGCCAAATGTGAGCTGAGAACAGGTGACCAGATGTGCGTTCAAGGCAGAGTGGAGACAGCAAGTATGGACAGCTCTGTGTTTTGCTGTGAGGATGGGCAGAGAAAGGGAGCGTTAGCTGGAAGGCTGTGGGCTCAGGGCACAGAGATGGGAATGATTCCATAGAGAAAGGCTTACTGCTGATGCTGGAGTGGAGTGGGGGACCTCAAGTGAGAAGGGGTCAGTCTTGAGGGGCACAGTGGAGGGCTGCCGGGGGGAACAGTTTGAGTAGTTGTTTATATAGGCACAGATGCAAGTTGAATAGTGGATTTGGTGGGCAGAAGATGTGGGTGTTCTAGTTTCTTGGCGACTTTAGAAACGAGCCCTGCTGAGTAAGGCTGGTAGGCTGGGGGTGTTGGAGGCTGGTGGAGAGAGGAGGTAGTGTGAAATGTCTTCTGTATTTCTAGAAAGTTGGAAAAGTAAACTGATGAGGGAAATGCAGACGCAGTAGGGCAAGAAGGGGGCCTTAAGATTTGACTAGATGAAGAGAGTGGCCAAGAGGCAGACTGTGCCCCCTACAGTACACACGTGCAGGCCTGGAGCAGACCAAAAGTTGTGTTTATCCTGAGTTGGGCTTTAACCAAGCAGGTACAGTGGACGGAGAGAGGGACAGGAAGATTGGTAGTGTGAATGAAAGAAGGCAACAAAGATGGCTGTGGAAATGCAGGTGAGCGGGGATGGGGCTCAGAGGGAAGATGGTGGGGCCAGTGGACTGGCCTGGAGTCATGGGATTATCATAGCAAGAGCACAAGCTAGGAGGCCCTGGCAGGAACCAGGATGTTTGAAATCACACTTTCTTTTTTTCTCCCCCCAACCCACTGTATCTTAGAAGAAATAGCAATTTCTGAAGTGGTGCAGTGCACGGGTGTGACCTGAGACTGGTGACTAAGGAGGGTGGGCGATGAGGTCAGCGAGGTCAGGGAACAGAGGGCTGGAGTGCTGATCGACAGCAGGAGTAGTGGCTGACAGGAGTAGAGGGGCTGAACCTAGAGTTACGTGGATGGGGAGTGATGGGGCCGAAGGAAGAGGCTGCAGGTGTGTGTTTGTGTGGTCTGATGGTGGGGTCTTCAGAGAGGTGGTGATGTTAGAGGTGGTCTAAAGGACACCATGAAAAGCAGAGATGCCTTTTCTACTGTAGACCCTGAGGTTTGGTGGGTTAGAGAAGCCACAGCAGCCTGTGAGAGCTGCTGGCAACACTGACCATGGGCAACAGGCAGGTGCTATTGGAACAAGCAGGGAGTGCAGTTTCAGGAAAAAAAAAGAGGAGAGGGGACTGGCTGCCTGCAGACAGGTAGTTCCACTGGGCACTGATAGGGTCTGGGACAGGTGGGATATGCAAGCCTGAATAGGTGGTAGATGATTCCAGGCGTCAGAGTCTGTCCTTGGGCTTTGAGCTTCAATCCTAATTCCCATTGTGGACTCCCAGCTTCTGCTTGGCTGCCGCCCAGGGCCTTCAGTTCATACATAAGGACCCAGCTTTCCATTGCATGGGTCTCCTTTGAGAAAGAACCAGCCTAGAGGCTGAGGTGGGGTGGTGCATCTCCATCAGGAGTTCATTGGTTTGAGTGTGATTGGTGGGCAGGGGGTGGGGTGGACAATAATGAGGTCTTTTAGCTGGGTTCATGTCTTACTTGACCCATCAGGTCAAGGGACCTCACGACCCGTCAGGTAAGGGAGGTCCAGACGGGCTCCATGATCAGATAACAACTGATTAGAACCTGAGCCCTCCTGACCTCTGATACTGGTGTACTCCGGTGAGGGATAGTGGGTGGGGTGGGCCAAGGAGGGGCCACAGGGTGGGGGCAGATGCTGGAGTGTTCCTCATATGCCTGCAGACACCCGGGACTACATCTGTGAGTTCTGCGCCCGGTCTTTCCGCACTAGCAGCAACCTTGTCATCCACCGACGTATCCACACTGGAGAAAAACCCCTGCAGTGAGTGCTGGATTGGGGTCTGAGGGCCAGGGGCCAGAAGGGAGGAGGTGGAGTCTGGAAGCTAGGCATATATAGGACACCTAGGCATTGGGGAGCAGGAGGAACCCCCTAGGGAAGTCAAGATGGCCTGAGGTCTGTTCCTTCCCTCCTCTGTCCCTAACTCCAGGTGTGAGATATGTGGGTTTACCTGCCGCCAGAAGGCCTCCCTGAACTGGCACCAGCGCAAGCATGCAGAGACGGTGGCTGCCTTGCGCTTCCCCTGTGAATTCTGCGGCAAGCGCTTTGAGAAGCCAGACAGTGTTGCAGCCCACCGTAGCAAAAGTCACCCAGTCCTTCTCCTGGCCCCTCAAGAGTCACCCAGTGGTTCCCTAGAGCCCTGTCCCAGCATCTCTGCCCCTGGGCCTCTGGAATCCAGCGAGGGGTCCAGGCCCTCTGCATCTCCTCAGGCTCCAATCCTGCTTCCTCAGCAATGAGCTCTCCAGCTTTGGCTTTGGGGAGCCAGACTCCAGGGACTGAAAAGGAGCAATGAGGAGAGGGTCTGCTTGAGAAACACCAGATGCTTGGTCCCCAGGAACTAAGGCGACAGAGTGTAGGGTGGGGACAAGACTGGGCTGTAGGGGAGCTGGACTACTTTAGTCTTCCTAAAGGACAAAATAAACAGAGTATTTTATGCAGGCATGTGTGGGCAGAGCGAGTGTTTTGGCACCTGAGGTGCAGAAATCCTGGATCCCTTTGAAACCATGTACCAGAATGCAGCTTAGGTGCAGGCCCTCACCGCTGACGCTTTCCAGACTCACTTTGACACTTTGCAGCCCTTTCCTGTGGAGTAAGACACCCACCCTCACACTCAAATAGAGCAGGCAGAGATAATCTGCAGAGTGCTGGGTCACTCCTGGCAGACTGGCTGGAGCAGAAAGACATGATTCTGAGCCATCTTGTACTTGCCATTAACAGAGAAAACCCCATGTGTAGGCCTTGAAGTCTCACCTTTTAGTGTGGAATCAGTGGTCCTCCACACAAGATGACTGAGCTGCCTTGGGAAGGTACAAGAGACCTTGGAACTGAATGGATCACTTCCAAACTCTGGTCAGCAGCCTTAGGTTTGACAAAGGGGGCGCTTGGCATCTGGAACTCAAACAAACAACTTTATTTCATTAGCCATAAGCAAAAAGTTGTTGACCAGCTCCAGGGGATTTTCCATTCTGCCCTCTCCCTACTGGTGGCTCCCATGATTTGGAAATAACCTCATGTTCCACTTGGCAGTGCCTGGCTTTGTGGACCCATGTGGTTTTGGCCTGAGTCCCAGTGAAAATGTTCCTCACCTGGCTGGGGAACATTGTTCTGAGAGGCCCCTTGATCTGCCTGGGGGACGTGTGGCCATGCTAAGGGTCCTGCCCACCTTCACGTGAGTGGCCACCTCTGCCAGGGTGCAGACAGCTCCTAGCATGGAGACATCCTGCCTGGAAGTGAGCTTTCCCACCTCCATACCCACATTTCTCAGAAGCAGAGAGTTAACAGGGAACCAAGAGTTAAGAAGCCACAGGGCTGGTAACGTGACTACAGCCAAATCTGTGACCATTACCTGAAGAGGCAGGACAACAAAAGTAATCCGGAAAGGAGAAGATGCGGGCTGGAATAAGGAGATGGGACAAAAGAAGACAGAACAAAGGCAGGAAAATCGGAAACACCAGAGAGCACAGTGGCGTTAAAGGGACACACCAACACCTGGGCTCTTGCACTCAGGGGAGTCCGTTTCCTGGACTCCCTGCACCTACACCTGAGGAGAGAATCCGAGTTACACGAGGACAGGATGGCAAAAGGGCCGACAGGGAGTAGGTGTAGAGGCGAGGCAGGAGGCCAAGTGAAGGGCGGCCAACAGAAACTGGAAAGGCGGGAGGCCACATCGTCTTTTCCCAAACCTCCATCTACAAGTTGCCTCAGCTGTCCCCATGGTATTATACAGGTGCTTCCCAACCACCTTTAGAGAAGCCTCAGCAAGCCTCCCTCAACTAGGACACAAAGAACCTTGGATTTTCCTGTTCAGCCGGCCCCTGGAAGATGAGGGCAGTGCCCACTGCGGACTGGATGGCAACGGCGGCAGCGGTGCGGGCGCGCGTGTGGGCCCGCTGATGCTGCGACAGCGAGCGGCTGTGGCTGAAGCACTTGCCGCACTCTGCGCACTCCGCTGGCCGTTCGCCCAGGTGCGTCTTGCGGTGTAGTGCGAGCTTGGAAGCGACGCTGAAGGCCTTGCTGCACTCGGGGCATTTGTGTGGCTTGTGGCCGGCATGGTTGCGCCGATGCACGTTGAGATTGGACACGCACGTGAACCGCTTGCCGCACAGCTCGCAGCGGTAGGGCTTCTCGCCGGTGTGCGTGCGCCGGTGCTTGGTGAGGTCCGAGCGGTCGCTGAAGCGGCGGCCGCACTCGGGGCACGCGAAGGGCTTCTCGCCCGTGTGGATGCGCTGGTGCACCACCAGGTCGGAGCGCTGCCCGAAACCCTTGCCACAAGTGGCGCACGCGTGTGGCCGCTCGCCCTGATGGCTGCGCCGGTGGCGCAGCAGCGTGGAACTCTCGCTGAAGCAGCGCCCGCAGTCGCCACAGGCGTACGGCTTCTCGCCCGTGTGTGTGCGCTGGTGGCGCACCAGCGTGGCGCTCTCCAGGAAGCCCTTGCCGCACTCCGGGCACTTGAAGGGCTTCTCCCCGGAGTGCGTCTGCAGGTGTCGCGTCAGCGTAGAGCTCTTGCCAAAGCACTTGCCGCACACGCCACACTGGTGGGCGTCGGAGGCACGGGGTCGCACGGGGCTCCGGGGCACGTGGATGCGCGCGTGACTCCGCAGCCCGGCGCCGCTCCGGAAGGCTCGCGGGCACTGCGCGCAGCGGTGGGGTGGGGCGGCAGGGTCAGAGGTTGTGCCCGGGGGGTGCGCCCGCGCCTGGTGGAAGCGCAGCGCGCTCTGTCGGAAGGTGCGGGCGCACAACGGGCAGCGGCGGGGCCGCTCTGGCAGGTGCTGACGGCGCCGGTGTAGCAGCAGCGCCGGGAGGTGCGGGAAGCGGCGGCCGCATGTGCGGCAGGGGCAAGTGCGGCATCGCTGCCGGTGTGCACCCAAGTGTAGGTCAAGGCGGCCGCTGTGGCGAAAGCTTTGTCCGCACTCACTGCAGATGTACAGGGTCTGGCCGGCATGGGTGCGCCTGTGCGCTCGGAGGTCGGCAGCCCGTGCACAGCGCTCACCGCATTCTAGACAACGGAAGCGGCCGTCACCGCCGTGAGCTCGTTCATGTCGCAGCAGCACTGAGCTGTAGCAGAAGCTCTTGCCACACTCGCTGCACGCGTAAGGCTTCTCCGCTGCCACTGCCCCAGATGTGGCAAACATGGTGAGGATGGGTTCACAGGGAACCGTGCCGCTCACATTCGGGGGTCCACCTCCTGACGCTGCGGCTAAGTTTTACTTCTCTTAAGGCCTGGAAAGGGCACTGTAACAGAGAGGAAACGGGGAGGCCGCAAAAACGGGTCTGATTTCAGGGTTCTTCTCTAAGGGCAGACACTGCGGCTGTTCCAGAGGTAAGCTGCGGCCAGGTTCACCCTGCACCGTGAGCCTGTGGGGAGAAGGTCATTGTGAGCCTCTGCAGCAGCTCCTAAGGAATGGAGAGGGGAACACGAACTCCCTATTTGTTATAACTTCTTTAGGTAGTCCATCTCCAGGATTCCCTTCCCCAAGACAAAGCAAAGCCATGGGCATCCCGGAAATACGGAGGGGGTGTCCTTGAACCACTTGGAAGGGCAGGAGGGAAACTACAAGTGTCCTGGAGAACAAACAGGAATGGATTCAAAGGGGAGCTTGCATTAGCATGGGAACCATCAACACTGCTCTGAGGGAAGGGAACGCCAAGCCTGTTTGCTGGCCTTAGATGGGGATCCTTGTCTGGGGATACATTAGGAAATGACCAAGGCGGGATGGGGCAGTGAGAAGTCCCCTGCGTTTAGACTATACCAACGTCTTCCTCCAAGACCCAGCTTTCCTGAGTCACTGACATGAACCCAGCCAGGCTTGGGCTGGAAGAACAAAGCGGGTAATGTGATGAAGCACAAACAGTCACAGCCTAAGCAAAGGGTTCAGACCCTGAAGTTACAGAAGGGGCTGGGGCCTGGCCAAGGGAACGTATCTGAGAAACTCCAAAATATTGTTCCTTGGCTTTGGACAGCACTTGATAAACACACTACCCCATGCCAGTATACAGCCCCAAAGTTGAGAAAGCAACTCAAGACCCAGGGAAGGGGTAAAACGGGAGCATAGATAATTCACAAAAAACATTATTAGAAGTTGGTGGCATTATCTGAGAAACACTTTTCCCATTTTCAGGAAAGGCTGGAGAGAAGGAAGGGGCATCTTTTCTATAATTAATTGTCAGGATATCCAAGTTGTTTGTGAAGGTTTGAATATGATGAATCTGATCAAGAAAAACATATTGTTTATGAACATTCTGCAGCATTTCCTCACTGTCCCAGCCACAGGAATCTGAGAATCTGGAGTAGCAGAAAAACTCCTTTATGGAGACCAAATCTGCTCTATTATCCTATTTCTCTCACATGATATCCCTGAATTCTTCTGACAAGTTGCTCCGGGCAGCTGTCTGGGAGCAGGGTCAGCCTTTGTAGTATGTGCACAGAACCTCACCTGCCCTCTAGTCAAGAGCACAATGTGGCTGCCCTCCTCACCTGGCTAGCCTCAGCACTGACTACTTCTCTCAAGGCCCACGGGTCAGTCTCCAGCCTTACTGGAGATTAGGTCTAGTTGCTAGTACAGTATAGCCCCTTGTTGCTCAACAGATCAGGGAGAGGACGCAAAATAAATTAGTCAGCTGTCACTTTCTTCTTAGCAGATGAAAGTTCATCATAAATACTCAGACCTTTGGTTAAAATACCCCCATAGACAGGGTCCTTATGTTTTGGATACAAATGGGGTAAAGTGAAAACAGCAAACCTGCAAGTCTGGGCTCTGGAGCTTCTGCTCCCCCACCACGCTGGGCAGGAGTAGCCAGCATGGGATGTCCTCCTCGTGTGCCTCTGGAGTAGGATGTGCTGTGCCCAGCAGAGATGAAGTAAAAGGGGAAATGTGAATTACAACTGAGCAGGGAAGGGAGGGAAATATTTTCAGGAGGAGGGTATTTATTTAATGGACATTTTAAAATACAAAAAACTAAATAGTACACAAATCACTCACCATTTTACCATTCTTGTTTCATCCACACCACCACTCCACTTTTTTTTTTTTTTTTTTGGTTGGGGGAAGCTCTAGAGTATTTTAAATTCCAGACATCTTATATAAAGAGTATGATTAGTATGATTTTTAAACAAAAAGTGCAAGCAGGAGCTCTGGAGTAGACTTTTTGACAGTCTTGCCCTGTCGCCCAGGCTAGAGTGCAGTCACCCGATCTTAGCTCACTGCAACCTCCGCCTCCCGGATTCAAGGATTCTCCTTGCCTCAGCCTCCCGAGTAGCTGGGATTATAGGCGCATGACAGTGTGTCTGGCTAAGTTTTGTATTTTTAGTAGAGATGGGGTTTCACCATGTTGGCCAGGCTGGTTTTGAACTTCTGACCTCAGGTGATCCACCCGCTTCGGCCTCCTAAAGTGCTGGGATTACAGGCGTGAGCCATCACACCCAGGCTGAAGTAGACTTTAGAGATTCTTGGTTCCTCCAGACAGACTTTCAATCCAGACACTGGCTGCTGATTCTGGTTAGATGTCAGTTCAGAGGAATGTTTGCCCTCCTGAAAATAAAAACTTCCCTGGAGACTCAGTGGCTGATCCCAAATGCCAAAGAAAGCAATGCTCATGCCCCACTGAGTGCTCTGCCTCCTCCTTGGGTATCTGGAGACCATGGCACCTCTCAAACCATGTTTCTAGGAGCCCACCCTCTCCCAGGGCACATGCCCAAGGAAGACAAATGCACACATACCAACATGCACACTTAACACTTAAACGGCATATACACAACAGTACCATTTCCTTCCATTACGGATGTGGAGTAAGACACTTGCTAGGGTACAGGTTTGGCGCTTCAGTCCCAAGGCAGGCTCTTTGAGTCTCTCTTCTGTACCTCACCCCATGCTGGAGCTCATCCCACAAGCAAAGGGATCACGCTTGAAGTAGAAACCTGAAAGAAAAATTATTCCTGTGCAAAAAAAAGAGAGTGACTTCTAGATCATTGTAATCCCCACTCTCCTGACAATGTGAGTTTTAAAGTTGCTATACCACCAAATTTCTTTCACTTTGGAAAAAAAGTACAGGAAAGTTCGGAAAGAGGGAAGGGGGAAATATGTACAAATAGGTGAAAATTCTCATTGTTGAATAATGTAAGTACCTTTCAAGCATTTAATACAAATACTATACATAGGCCGGGCGCGGTGGCTCAAGCCTGTAATCCCAGCACTTTGGGAGGCCGAG